CAAGGGGAAGGGGACGGAGGGGGGGGGGGGGGGGTAAATTAGACCCCTCTTCCGCCATACACCATACTTGGAAGTACAAAACTGCCAAAATATGTAAGATAGAAAATTAGTGCGTTACAGGGTCCATTCGGTGCCAAGCTGCAGATCCCCCTCCCCCAATAAATATTCATGGTCCAGATTCCCCTCCCCCGATGGTCCAAGCGAGGTCGAACGCAGCAGCCCCAACAACGTCAACGCTGCCACATACGCCGCTGTCGCCCGTATTAGGAGCAGCACGACGTCTTCCTCCGCGATACATACACGTACGTATCCTGATGACGAACATGCGGGTGTGGTCAGTGGTGTCCGTGGACAGCCGGCCCTTGGAGGCGAGGTTCCTGTAAGGAAACGGCGGGGGGGCATAGGATGGGAACGGGGCGGGGGGGGGGGGGGGCGCTATTGATTCAGGTCATCGCTACCAACGCTTGAGCGTGGGCCAGGTGCCGAAGTATGATACAGCACTGCTTTGCTGCTCCGTGCGATCCGAGAGAAGACGCACTACGTTAGGACGTACACGTACGCGTCAAACACACGAGACTGTCGCCCGAAGGTCACAAAATGTCTTCCGATGCTTGGAGAAGCATTCCCTCGTTCACTGACTGATTCGTACTGATGGAGTAGTTTTGGCCCAAAAAATCGTACACGGAGAGCATTTTCTCTTTTTTGCCCTTTTCCACGGAATTGGACAACAACGATGAGAACTTTTCCGAACTTCGTTCGCCAAACATCTGGACTATACAAAACACACTGCTTTTAGCGGACATGTATGCATAGCACATTGGACGTTTGAAATACGTCCCGCTTCCTGTCTTGTTGCAGACCCGCCGCAACAGCAACAGCAACATCAGCACGGGCATGGTCTGTTCGACCTGTTTGTCCCCGGCGGAACCAGCAAACACTCGACAAAGTGCAAGGCGTCAGGACGACGAAGATATAGGCGGCCGGCCGCATGAGCGGGAGTCCGCCGGTCCCGAAGGGCGGACTCTTTTTTTTTTTGGTGGAAAAACGCAGACAGGAAGCAACCAAGATCGCGAGCGACCTCTCGCACAGCAGTTGTCGCGAAAATCGCGCAATGCCCTTCAACAAGACAAGCAAGGCCCACCCACACTCGACAACTGTTCCGGCTCGGGCTTCCTCCTGACACCACCCCCTGGAGGTGGCGGCCCCATCGAATGGACAGGCGTTTTTCGCTCTCTGCTTTGTTGTAGATAGGCGTAGTCTGCATTTCGTCCACCGAATTTTTCCGAAAATTACCTATTTGAATCACATCCAAATACCGTACAGAATTTCGTGAGAGATAGACCAGCATGATGTCGTGCTATTTTGCAGAGGCTGAGTTGCTTAAGTCACTGCTAAAATTCAAATGTAGACTGCAGCATAGCAGTCTACTCCGAAAAAATTAGATGGCATTTTCATACTTGCGTACTTCATGACTGCAACACAATTTCTTTCCGTTCCACTCCAAGCTTGCAAGCACTACCAAACCCAATCGTATCGTAAGAATTATTTAGTACAGTACGACTACCGCTCTCCCATGGTACCGTACCGTGGTGTGGCAAAATGAATTCCCAGTTTTTTCACCTCACCACCCAACATCCAGCCCACAGCAACAGGAATTGAATTGGTGTCCCAGCCGTTGCTGTGCCGCGTCGCATCATATGTACACGGCCACTGCACTCGGAATACTAACGCTCTCTCTCTGTCCCAGTCTCACCTTCATGGGGGGCACCTTACGATGCGCGACTGTAGTGCCCATGTCGTCACACTGCGCGAGACACATGTAAGGGATGCCGTGGGCTCCCGCTTGCTTGCTCCCCGAGCTTTCTCCGCTGCCGGCGCCTTGGGTGTTGTTGGCGTGGGCTGCTGCTGGTACGGCATGCTGGTGCTCCTGTGCCTTGTCCTTCGAAGAGAGCAGCACCGACGTTCGGAGATAGTACACTCCCCGACAGAACAAATCTATGTTGTGGACACGATGCAGGTGGACCGCCTTGGGAAGGAGAGAGGGGGGGGAAGAAGAGGAAGCAAGGAGCTGGGTTGAATAATTTGAAGCCCGTCGTGATATACAGCAGCCGCCACTGGAACATGAATTCCAGTTCCGAAGAGTCGGGAGTAGAGGGCCCTCAGCAGTGCCGGCATAGTCTACAGCTGTCTACAGCGCCGACCGCCGTCTGCATATGGGTATAGAAACCTCTGGGCACGAGTGTCGACTCCTGTACTAAAACCTATATATCACTGTTCTGAATAGACCGGTCCCTCTGATTATTGCCGATGAACTGGTCTGGTCCATACCGGCAATACTGAGGGCCCTCTGCTGTAGGACTCTTTGTGTGCCTGCTGCAAGTGTGCAGTACAATGTGGTTGTACGCATACACGAGATAAGGCTGCAGTGCAATCAATCAATGTATCATACAGACCAATTGACACTTTTGCTCACCACATCAACCGTCCCAACCACCGGCATGCTCCTCCGCACGCGCGCGCTGCCACCGTGTGCTGTCCTCTGCCACTGCGTGTCCCTGCGTTGCCGCCCCGTGCTGGTGTGGTGCTGCGCTCGGCAATAATCTACGGGAGGGTACGCGAATAGAACTTGAGACACACCCTATTTTTGGAAGCCACCGGCTAGCCGCGTCACACATGGCGCATGATGATTAGCTAATGATGATCATAATGATGCGTGACATAATACAAGATTTGCTTTTGATTGGCACTGCGGCTAAAGTGTCGTGGAAATCTTCGTACTCTACTGCTACTGCTGTTGTCTACAAGTTTCGGAAGAGACTCATTGTTTACTTGTCTCTGGAGCTCTGGAGTCCATATGGTGTTCGATGGATCTACGTACGTACAGTAGGTGATTCAAGATACCACCACCCCCTAAACCGATTTTCAAGGCCAAGCTCGATTGCCCAACAGCGCAGAGGATGCCAAAATCAAACGATACGGGTTCGGAAAGGTTTCGACGAGACGGTTCCAACGTCACCAATTTCGGCACAACCGCTCTTTTCTGCTGCAGAGTGATCGAGTTTTGAAAAATCGGGTGTTTTGATATCTCACCTCAACCGTAAGGTTGCGTAGGATACCACGCCCCCTGGACCGATTCTCAAAGCTCGATTTGCCCAACAGCAAAGAGGATGCAAAAGTCAAACGATACAGTTTCGGAAAGCTTTCGACGAGACACGAGACGGTTTCGGTGCCCACCAGTTTCGGCACTACCGCTTCTTCTGCTGCATAGTGGTCGAGTTTGAAAATGGGTCCACGGGGTGTGGTATCTTGTGCAACGTGGGCGTCAAAACACATTCCATCATTCCTGTACAGCAGTGCTTCAAAGTATGTTTTTGGCGTTGACTTCGGAAGCTATCTCCCACAAGATGGATGCGCTTGCGTAGGATGGAGATTGTTTCTAGTGAAAGTCGGCGGGAAAAGGTGGGCCCCGAGAGCGAGAACCACTGGCGGCCGAAACGCGATACAAGCAAGTGTATCTATCTTGAAATACTTGCAAGCAACAGGTATTGTTCCGACTTGTTGCACTTACGATCTTAAGACTTGTATTCTAAGTGTTCCCAATGCACAACAGTTCGTCCAGTAGTAATCACGTAGGCGGAGGACGTTCGGCGTTTCCCGCAAAAACAATAAACACCGCAGCCCCCCAAAAATGCTTTTGCCCCAAACGAAAGTTGACTTAACTTCAGCCACATTTGGAAATTCGGAATGGGTGTAACAGCAGTTACAGTAATGCCCGCACTCAATATTGTGGTACTTCCTATCAAGGATATTTCGAAATGTGAGAACTTGCGCACGTTTGTGAGCCTGGTTAAGAACTACACTGCAACCTGCCAGATAGATAGCCGCTATTTGCAATTTGTAGCCCAACCCGATGCATGGGAACTAAGAATCCCAGCTTCGGCCAAAACTAGGGTCCCTGAGTTTGGGTACCTGTAGGTGTAGACTATAATAGTCAGTCTCGAGGGTAAATCTCCCTGTTAACTAAGAAGAGAAACAAAAAAACGTTACTTTCGCCGCCGGCCTGACCATTTAGAGTTTAGATAGAGGGTTGGCAAATAAACGCGGTTGAGAGCGATGTTAGTCCTTTCCATCCTAGCTTGGGAACCTAAACAAAATACCGAACGATTCCAACCGTCAATGCTTCAAGTCACTCGACCAAAACACACGAGGAATCCAGAGCCGATACCGATGAGTCTTTGCACCCCCGGAGCGAGTCCAATCTCTTTCATTCAGCAGTTTCCCACGAGATTAATGGGAGAGTAAACGTTGCGAACAAAGGGCGCGATACAACACACTGCTTTGACCACCTGAACGGACCCCACATAACACAAGAAGAAAAATACAAAACACCAGACAACAACAACAACAACAACAACAACAACAACAACAACCAACCACAACCACAGCCGTACTTTGTGTTACGGCGACGTTGATACAGAACGCTCGCCTTGAAACACATCGACTTGCATTGCACTCCTTCTTCCCCACCGCGACAAACATGAAAACGAACGTGAAAACGAGCAAGACAGGCGGCAAAGGGCGCACCCAACAAAAGGGAAACAGATCGGTCCGACCGAGGGGAAACCGGCCACGACAAAAAACGCTCACAAAAGCGCCGACGCCAGATCGATACATTTATATCCATGACCATCTACGATAACGGTCCGTGCCTCCAATAAGGCAGAAGAACTCGGAAGCCTGACTCGTCCACAGAGGTAATTCTTTGCCACAAAACACACATCATCACCACGAGTAAACCAAATTACCCGCTACTGCCGCGTGTTCACCCGTCTACCTTCATACGTCGCACATCCCACAAAACAGATAGGGTTGCTTAGCTAAACAATTTGAGTGATTAATCACTGCTCCAATCTACGAAACCTACGCTTGCTCGTGAGGACGACCCCCTGCTCCTTCCCCCACACTTCAAACACCCGCCCCGTCCCACCGCATAGCGACACGGTCTAGCAGTTCCTCGCACGCCAGGGTGTCAACCTTTCCACCAGACACCGTGGATGCAAAACCCGGCGTCGCCACGTCGCCCTGCAGCCTGCTGTACGTACTCAAGCCATGGGCGACGCCTGCCAAAAGAGGGGTTCAAGGACGGGAAAAAAACATGTAGACGTACGTAAGCGGCGAGCAAATAAAAAGAGGTAGATACCAGTATAGGAGTTTCAGATGGACCCAGGAAGCACCGAAAGGCTGTATTAATAGTACCCTTCGTCGGCGTCCCTCCATTGGGCGGGTGACCGGTACATGACGGGATCTCTTGGCACAGATGTGAAGAAGAATCTACGGTGCTAGGGGTCGCAAGACATCACACGCCCTGGGACCGATATTCAAAGCTCAATTGCTCCAAACACAGCAGAAAGACCCAGCGGTGCCGAAAATGGCGGCGATAGAATGGTATCGTCGACATGTTTTCCAAGAAACGTGTCGTTCAATACTACGTCCTCTTCGTCGTGGATCAACGGAGCATTTTTGAAAATCGGTCCAGGGCATGTGGTATCTTACGTCATGCCACCCACCGACGGTAGTTGTTTCATACTTCTACTAATAGGGCGGGTGAATCCATTTGTGGCACACACCCATCCTGAGGAGGGACTACCACCGCGACTGCTGCTGCTTTTCACAGCGGCCGCCGCCCCCACGACCGCTTTCGATTTTGCGCTCTCTAACTCACTCACCCGGGGTCGTGAAGCACGACGCGAGAATCGACGCGTGGGCGAGGCCGACGCCCGTCTCGAACGCCGAGCTCAACACGGCCTCCGCTCCTAGGCGCCGCGCCAAGCCGCACAGCCGCGCGCTCCTGCTGAGCCCCCCGACGACGCTAACCTTAACCACGAAGGCGGCGCATCCCTCCAGCTGCAACA